GGGTAGTACTTATAAGACTTAATCTAGTATGTATGAGCATGATAGGGGTAGTATAACTTTTAATATGCTATTTTGTTTATATGAAGATTGTCATGTGTTTAAGTTGATGGTTATTTTAGGTGTTTAATTATTTGTTATTATATTGAATGATTTGACATGGTTATGGAAAAGTTTGTATGAAATTATGGAATATGCTATGTGTGTTTGGTTTAGAAAAGTAAATAGGACTTAGAGGGGTAAGGTTATGGTATGGATTAGATCTCTTGGTGAGATCAGGATATAATCTTTGGAAAAATATGGAATTTGGGAATCCCATGGTGAGGATTCCAATATGGAACTTTTCCAAAGGTTATATAATAAACCACTTCAGATGTTAGGTGGATTCTGAAGTACTCCTCTAAGTATTCTATTTGCTACCGGTATGGGTCCAGGCCGAGTCATACCGATGGATGAGGTGGCCACGATCACCAGGGTTACGTGACGACGTAATCCAACTGTATATTTTCCATGAGAGGTTAGGCGTGAGACATGGGTTGATGACATGTTTCACTGTATCAACACTTGGTTTGGATGTGTTGAGGCCAACATTTGGTTTGGATGTGTTGGTTACATCATGGATTATACAGTGGTGTGACTTTGTTTTGGATGTGGAATATGTATACATATGGTATGGATTGTATACATTGGTTATGGATTCTTTATTATCATAAAATATGTATGCATTGGCATGGATGTGTATACATTATATTTTGGATTGGTCTATATTTAGCTTGGAAATGACTTGTTGGTCTGGATAAATACTGTGGATAAATATCTGTTTAATGATATTTTATTATGATGTACTATGATTGGTTTTATATGTGCTAACCCTTATATTTCCATGATGGACTGTGATGATCTCACTATGTGGGGGAGCAGATCAGGTATGAGGCCTTGGGATAGCAAGGAGTCTTTTGGATAGCTGCTTTGAGAAGTGGCTAGGTTTAGAGCTTGACCAGCACCTAGGGTGTCTTATTTTGATGTCTTCATGATGTTGTAATTATATTACCTTTTGTATTAATGTATAACCTTACTGAGGATAATGACTTTATTATAAAAATATGTTATATATTTTGGAAACAATTTTATATGTTATTGTATATTTACACTCTAGTGTAGCTGACCCTTGTTCTATTTTCTTTATTATATATTATTTTATTTTGGTTGGTTCTGGATGTGACGGCCTAGGGTGGATCGTTACAGATTCAAATCCATCGGAAAAAGGGGTCTTGAAAAAAAAATTGTCGGAAACAATTTAATCCGTCAAAAATTCCAATGAATGATTTTGTGGTAAATATCTGTTGGTAATTACCGATGGATGCATTTGTCAGAAATTATCGACAGATATCCCATCAAAAGTTTCATCGATATTGTTTGAAAATCTTTATGTGATTCTTCCACGACACTTCACTTTTCCGTGTGCTTTAACTATGAGGTTTTAATGAGATAAGCTACCGAAAAGTAGATGCATCTTGTTAGTATAGGTAGTACAAATTAATTCTTTTAAGTCATCCTCAACTATATAGTCTCATACTTATACAATCTCTAGATCTCTCTAGTTCCGGTGTATTCGGACTGTTATAAAAATATAATAATTTTATTATATTTAATTATATTAATCAATAATAATTATTATATTATATTTAATTAATCTTTATTTTGCATATATACTTACTTTTAAAATTAAAACAATCTACTTATTTCTATTTAAAATTTAATATTATGATACAATTTAAATTATTTATTATAAATTTAAAAGTTTAAATAATAATTTATATATATTTAAATTATTATTTATAAAATTATAAATATTTATTTATTACATATTTATAAATTAAATTTTAATATTTTAAATAAATTATTAATTAGCTTAATATATTTATTTATCTTAAATCTAAGATATAAAATTTAAAAAATGTATTTATCCTTGTTTTATTTTCTAATTTTCAACCATTAATAAAATACTAATTTAAAATCTTATATAATTATATCATAATATTTTCACATCAAATTTAAAATCAGATATTAGTTGTACAAAAATATCAATATCATATAGTAAATTATCAATAAAATTATAGTTAAATAATTTAAAATAATTAATTTTTCAAGTATATTTTTAGCAAATAATTTATTTCACAGCTAATCAATTTTTTCTATATTAATTATTAGTAAAATTTAAGAACTTTTAATTTAACAGTTGGATTGAGGAAATTCAAGATACACCATGAGTTATTGAGCTTAATAACTTTACCAATAATTATTTTGTGAGTCATTTGATTCCTTCTCTCTCTCTCTCTCTCTATATATATATATATATATATATATATAATTGTCGGAAAACTTATATTTCTGACGAAAAAAAATCGTAGGAAAAATTATATTACTGACAGATAATTTTCGACAAATACAAATTTGTGAAAAAAAAAATTCATGGAAAAGTTATATTATTGACGAAATATTTTCGATGCATTTTTATTTGTCGAAAAGTAAGGATTTCCATCAAAAAAAAAATTATAAATGCTTATGTCAATTTTTTTTGATAGAATGGTACTAACGAATAATGTTTAGGGTTTAGGGTTTTACATGGAGTGGAAGATGCTCTCGTAAGTGTGGAAATTTTACTTTCTTTCTCTTATTCTTGTATCACTATTTCTCTTCGTTTCATTGCACCACTTAGTAGATGGATATATGTGTATGGTGGATTTGGGAATTTTGAGGGAGAGCTTTTTGTGAGAGTGAGAATTTGGGAATCAAGATCTTGGAGAGGGTTTTGAGATTGAGAATTTGAGATGAATGTGGATGATGTGTGGGTCGACGGGAAATTTAAGATGAGGTTTTTTTGTTGGAAGGTTGTTTTGTTGTTCATAGGGAAAATTTGGGTTTTTTTTTATTTCGTGAAAAATATAAGAGAAAAAAAATTAATTTGGAGGAATTCTTTTATTTTTGATGAGGGAGGAAGTTTGTAAAAAAAATTATAAAATAATTTAAAAGAATTAAATTTTTATTAGTTATTAATTGATAAATTATGGATAAATATAAATATTTTCACTATACTAATATTTATTTATAATATATGTAAATAATTAATATTTACAAATATTTAGATTAAATCAAGATTTTTTTATGTTTAAAATATATTTAAATGATTAATATTAATTATGATAAATTATTAATATTTTAATTTTGTATTAGATTAGTATTTTTTATAATACATGCAAATGATTGTTAGAATAATTTTGTAATTTTTTTATATATATATGATAATATGATTAGCCAAGTTTTATGCATATTAATATTAACTTGTTGATGTTTAATTTTATTTTTATGTTAATTTATTAATCATTATTTTGAAGTTTATAATATAATTTAATTATTGATTGATATTATTTTCAAAATTCTATACACACATAAACAATGTCATCAAGTGAAAAATTTTCTATAAGAAGACTAGAAGGTGCTTTGAGCGATGATATTGGATGACACTTTGGATTACCTATAACAATGCTAGATACTTCATGCCATAACACTATCAAAGTTTAAGTAGATGACCAAAGAAACCCTTCTAAATAGGTTCACATTGCCTAGTAAACAAATTATGAATGCATGGACTCTATAGACAACAACATCACACCACAAAAAATGCAATGACCAATTGGTGATTCTTCCCAAATCAAAGAGTCTAGACTTCTACACAACATGCATAGCCATACTTGGATCACATCATTTTCAACTGCAACCTAAACTTACATGCTCAACAACATCACCATACCTCCTCATTATTACACAAATATCATCCTCATCATATCATGCATCAACATATCTCATCATCATACATCATATAATATCATTATCAATTATTTGTAACACATCATATTATACACAAACTCACACACATGTAGCCCTTCATCACAAGCATAGCAATTGTACATAGATAATAGGATCATCTTCAATTTTTTCAACTTTGACATTGGTCTTTATGAAATCTTCCCTTCCTATTATTTTCCAAGTCCTTAAGTACAAAAAACATGGTTGTTCCCAATAATTCCCTAAAGTTTGAAGTTGACGGTTTTCATTTGAAATTCAAAGCTTAGTTCCTAATTTATTCCTAACATTAGCAATCAACAAGTCATAACATCAACCAAAATCACTTGTTAGGTTCTTAATTTCACAACTGAAAAACATCATATCTAAAATCCTTTATGTTAGACAGGTAATTTTTTTGTTGAGTAGAATCCAAATAAATCTTTTTAGTTTGATTAACATTCACTACAAAAATATAAGTAATTACTGACAATTTTTTCTTTGCAATTTTCATAAATCGCCAAAAAATATTACATTTTGTGATCAAGATGGTAATCGCTATAAATTATTGACACTTTCTTACAATTTTAAATTGCAGGAATGGTAATCGCTACGAGTATTGCACTTTCTGTCTGTTTCAAACTGCCGTTGAATAATTTTTTTTATTTGGTTAATTATATGTGCCAGACTAAAATAGTTCTTTTATAAAATTAAAAAAATAAAATAAAAAACTTATAAAATCAATTTAAAAGAAATAAAAAAAACAATTTCTAACTCACGAATAAAATCCATCCGCACGAAGTCCAGCCACCAAAATCATTTCTCACAGAACCCGCACGGATTGAATTTCATTTTTCATACGACCCGCACGCAAGAGAAACACGATGAAATCCGCTAGGGCACGCCAAGGTTAGAGCATTTAGTTTTTTCTACTAGTTTTTCTGCTCTAGGTTTGTTTGGATGTTGTGTTGGCCTTGAAGAAATCACTGTCATTTGGATCTTCGAATGCACCAAATGGAGTTCATGTGCATGGATTTGTGAAATATGAATCTAAGTTTGAAGTTTGGATTAGGAATACCATGTTCATTTGTTCAAATTTTGGATGGTGGTGGTGGTGTCACTTTCTATGATTGATTGTTTCGTGTGTGTGTGTGCTCGAGCCATGAATGACATCCAAGGTATTATCACCTTGCGCATGTATACCCCAGACTCAGAAATCAAAAGAAAGTTTAGTTCTAGGTGGAACAAACTGAGCCAAGGAAAGGACTCTCATAAGGGTCCTTTTGCATTGAACACCTTTGGCCTTTACGCCTATGACACTGTTTGGGTGCTTGCTTCAGCACTCGATGCATTTTTTAGGAGTGGGGGAACTGTGTCATTTTCAAATGATTCAAGTCTAAACATGTTGAGAGGGGACACCCTTCACATGAATACTATGGGGGTGTTTGTTGGTGGTGAATCGTTGCGTCAAAAAATTTTAGAAGTGAATAGAAGTGGTTTAACAGGCCAAATGGAGTTTAGTGCAGATGGAAACTTGGTTAATCCATCATATGAAATAATTAATGTGATAGGCACTGGAATTAGGAGGATTGGTTATTGGTCTGAAGCCTCTGGTCTCCACACTGGTGAAGCTCCTAATCATTCCAATTCTAGTGAAGGACTATATGGTGTCATTTGGCCTGGTCAAACAACTCAAACCCCACGTGGTTGGGTTTTTGCAAGCAATGGAAGACACTTGAGAATAGGGGTGCCACTTAGAATTAGTAACCCTGAGATTCTGTCAAGAATTGAGGGAACAACTGAGATGTTTAGAGGTTATAGCATCGATGTGTTTACTGCTGCGTTGAACTTGTTGCCTTATCCTGTTCCCTACAAGTTTGTTCCATTTGGAGATGGTAAAACCAACCCACTAAATACAAAACTTCTCAACAAGATCACAATTGGAGTGAGTATTACTATTACATGTATTTCAATTTTCATTGTTTATATTTTTTTCTAGGAGGTTATTGCTTTATTCTATTTCTATAACTTATTTGATTAAAATTCCTTGTAATATACATGTAGGAGTTCGATGCTGTTGTGGGGGACATTACCATTACCACAAACCGAACTAAGATAGTGGATTTTACACAGCCATATATTGAGTCTGGGCTAGTTGTTGTGGCACCAATTAGGAAAATGAAATCCAGTGCTTGGGCTTTTCTGAGACCATTCTCTCCAATGATGTGGTTTGTGACAGGAATGTTTTTCTTAGTTGTGGGAGCTGTTGTGTGGGTTTTAGAACGTCGCTTAAATGATGAATTTAGAGGCCCAGCAAGAAGGCAGTTTGTGACCATTATATGGTAATTAAGCTCTAAAAACAAATTAAAAATTAAAAGCACCTTCTCTCTGACATCTTTCTTTGTTTTATTTTGAGACAGAATACAAACTTCAACAATTGCTAACATTTCAATAATTTTTCCATGCAGGTTTAGCTTTTCAACCCTGTTTTTTTCACATAGTAAGTGGTTGACCCAAGGCATCCATATCAACATTCCTATGCTTAAAACATCTCCATAATGAGAACTACTCAAAGAAACACTCTACAACACATCCACTTGAATTCACCTCAGCAATCAATACCCATCCATAAAGGAAAAGCTCAACGTCCACAACATACGCCTGGAGAGGCATCACAATACTCACTTGACAAGCACAACATAGATTTTCCTACCAATCATTCACTCATTCTCAATAAGACGCCTGGAGAGGCATCATAATACTAACCGGACTAAAATTGTCTAGTTTTAGTGTGATGAGTAATAGCACTTACTTAGGAAGTAGGCCTAGTCACCTGTATCGACCCAGGTTTGGCAGTTGCTACTCTGTTATGGCACAGGATGGGGCCCACCGTGGAATAAGTAACACAAAATATCTTACAAAAGCATAAATCACTTCACTTGCTTCTGTCAATTCTTTCATGGTAGCCTTCTCATTCACATCAAATGTGGTGGTCATTTGCATGGAGAGCCTTCGGAATTCCTCATGAAGCCTCTCAGCAGTTTTAGCATTTTTATGTCTGGTCTTTCTCAAGGCTTCCTCTGCTTGGATTGCTCTTTGTTCTTGCTCAACTAAAAACAATATCCCCAACAGATTTTTAAGATGTATACTCAGTGCATTCTATTCAGGTCAAAGAGCTTGGGAGATTGGTTAAGTACATCTTTGTGATTAAATATAAGGTCAATCTTCACAAATCATAATTGTCTTTTTCTGAATTGGTCATGGTCATATAGAACAAAGTTTACTTTCAAAGTTTCCTGTGACTCTGAGTGAGAAGATTGGACTCACGCACAAATTTGGACCAAGGTTCAAATTTGGCATATCCATATAATCAAAACAATCATCATTAATAGAGTTGTGAGAGAGAAAGGTAGAAAGAGAGAGAGAGAAAGAAAAACAGAGGAAATGAGAGAAAGTATATGACAAGAGAATTGTAATTTCATTAGCTAGCTGAAAAGTGAGTACAATACAGGTATATATAGAGCCAATTTATATTGGTCTATATTAACAGAAATAAATGTATATATATATATATATATATATATATATTTTAGGTGTAAAACTATACTCCAATAATCATCTTTGGCTATTTAATATATGACCATCATAGTCAACTTATAATCACAGTCAACTATATTACATATATAATCATAGAGGGTACATATGCTAAAAATGTACAGCTATTTCTAACCCAAACTTGGTAACAACTACAATAGATATATTAAGCAAACTCACTATTTTTTTTTATACGAGGCCATTGAGTTCAAAAAAGAACCCCATCACTGTGTTAGACTTCCAAATCTTAATTTACTATGATTCAATATAGCATGTAGCATGGCACAAAATTAAAAACCAATGCCAAATTGGTGAACAAGAAGCCATAGTGTGAGTCCTTATTGGTTAGCTGAGACCAGGTTGAATCATTGGGAAAAAGGACCAATCCTTGGAGGCCCCTCCCTCCTTCCCTGCAACTTTCTCATTAGCCCACCAATCAGCAACTATATTATCTCTTCCATCTGCATTATCAAAATTGAATTCTTTAGCAGAAGAAAGAGTCAAGGACTGATCCTTCTCATGAACTGTTGCCTTATCTCCACCCAAAGTGGTTTCCAGTGGTTGATCATTAGGATTTTCAGCAAGGACTTGTTTGTCATCACGCTCAGTTTCTACAGAATTTTCTTCTTTGTCTGCTGTTGCTGCGTCATCTTTCAGTTTTGACAGGACCTTAGTCCATGCTGATGCTGCAGGCTTGTTCTCAAGAGATTTCAATACTTGTTGGGAGGATAATTCAAATGAAACCCTGTGGTTACTTTATACTAATCTCACTCAGGCGATTATTGCTTGGATGTGGAGACATTTTGATCTCAGAAACCCAATGATTTGAAAGAAAACCAGTTTGAGTTGTGGACCTTGCAGCATCTGGGGTCAAAGATCCAGAACCTTGGTTTGATTTTTGGTTTTTATAAGAAGATAGTTTATCTACGTTGAGAAGCTTAGGAGGGTCTGTTCTTTGGAAATCAAGGATTGGAAGTCATAGTGAGATATTTGGCAGATGAGGTGCCGGAAGCTGAGATGGCAGATCTTGGTGATATCAGTTGACCAACAGGACTTCCGGGATGAAACTGATAGGATTGGAAGTCATAGTGAGATATTTGGAACCTCTGAAAGGTTTCACCGTTCCTATTATTGGGGTCTAGTAGCTGAGCAAATGGAACCTCTGAAAGGTTTCACCGTTCCTATTATTATCTTTTATTGTGTTCTCTACATGTGTATTTCATCACCCGCAACTAACAAAAATATTTTTGTCTCAATTACTTTAATCACTCTTGTATGTTTTATGTTTATCTGTATACTTGATTTTCTTAACCATGATTTTTTTTATATATACATTTAAATTGAGTTTCAGAATTTTTGCTTATAAGTTTTATTTAATTTTAACAATGTGAAACAATACATAGAAAAGTTATTAATATCATTATAAATTTTGAAAGATGGTCAATCTTAAAATCCTGGGTACATAAATTACTTGGTGCTTACAAAGTTACAAAGAAAAGATGTCGTAGAAAAGGCAAGTAAAAGAGGAAGCAAACACACCGACAGATTGTTCAAAACAGTATTTTGTTTTCCGCGTGAAGCGACGATGGGATGGCAACAATCTCCACGTGTTATCTCCAAAGTCCCTTTCATAGTTTCATTAAATTCATCACAATTTTGTTTCTCTAGAACACACTTATCTTTTTATCTTTTTAATTTTTGTGCTTATGTAGTCTCAAAGAGGAAGCTCTAAATCATTTGTTTTAATTTCCGGTGTTATTATTATTATTTAGGTTCATCATTGATGGAACACATAAGGCAAAATCAAAGGCCTCCCAAATCACAGGTACTGCATTGTTAGAGGAATTGCTAAATGCAGCATAATTTCTTGCCTTCAGGTTGTCAATTGTGTCCACATAACTCTGTACACGACAAACCTATGTACAACGACTTAAATGTGAGCACCTTTCACCATCACTTTGGAACTGCATTAAATAACTAAGTGGTGGCAACTATTTTTGTATCGTCTACTCATTAATAAAAGAGGAGTTCTTGTATGAAAACAGTATCAGGAAACACAATCACTAATCCGAAGCTAAGATAATATTAAAAGAAAAAGTGAGAAAAAATAGCATATTGACAGACATTAAAAGATGTCACAATAATTCTTAGTCCAAAAGGGTGAAATTCTTACTTCAGAAGAAGAACAACTTTGACTGGCTTCTGGTATGATAATAATTTATTATGTTGCCTAATTAAATATTGATTGAACCATTAAAACACGACCTATAGCTCTTGTTGGTTCACTCTTTGGTGTTGTTTTTGAAACTTTGCAGGTAAACAGCTATTAGTCTAGTGAATTTGATGAGAATTGACAAGGTTCTCATGTACAAAGCATCTATAGTTTAGATCACTTCTTTTCATTCTTTCAGAAATATTATTTTGGGTGATTTAAAACAAATGAGCATAAATACATTTTATTCTTTTTATAGGTAAAATATCATTTATCTATTTAATTCATGTATGTCAATTTTTAATTAATTTATTTGTATACAAATTTAAACTAAAGCAGGTTCTTGTTCTCTTGGATTAACTAAAAAGCTTCTCCAAATTTACTTCACTTGCATTACCTAAGTGCTTCACCTCAGGTATTCATGATTTGTTTTAAAATTACTTATCTAATTCCTTTTTTTTTTATATATTTTAAATTACTTATCTAGTTTTCATTTTTATATATGCCATTTTTTAAATTAATTTACTTATCTAGTTTTCATTTTTATATATGCCACTTTTTAAAAATTAATTTACTTATCTATTTTTTTCTTCTTCTTGAACCTAGTCAGATGGATGTAGTAATGGATAAATCATGGATTGATATACCAAGGAATACAATAGAATATCTAGATGGATTAAATAAATTATGCTTATGACATTTTTCAAAATAACCCGATTCTGCTAACAGGGTTCATGCTAGTGTATCAAGATTCCAATCTAAATGCATGTTATTATTGCTTCATGTTTACTGTATATATTGTTGACCACGATGAGATTTAACATGAATGGTTAATCTATGCATTTGAGCATATATTTTTCCATTCAGTCCAAAATTTTAAAGTCCACTCATTGCGGGTTTTCCAAGGCTTGTACGGATCGGAAATCTCGGGTGTCAGCGCATTGTATCTCAACACACTCATAGTCTTATTGATTGCGTTGTACAATAAAGCACTTATTATTTTCAGGTAGCAAAGGTCCAGAGCCTGACCTTTTACTGGTTTATGGACCTGTGAGGAGCCATCTTGGTTTTCCTGCATGGAGACTTCCTTACACAGAGATCATGTAAGTTCTTTCTAGGAAAGTACTATTATTTATGATTAGATTAGTGCAGTTATCAAATGTTTGTTTATTGACATGAAGTGAAGCTATGCTTGTTTATAGAAGCTAAAAGCAGTAGCTCTGTTTCATGGTCTTCCTGTTCTGTATTAGGTTTTCAACTTGGAAGAGCCTGTTGAAGATTTATCTGAAAAATAAATTACTGTTGTTGCATACACTTTGTTTATTTAAACATTTTGTTTAAATAAAAGTGTTTTTTTTTAATTGAAAGATATATTTAAGTTATTTTCATGAAGTTTAGCAAGGTGGTATAGTTGGTTAAGTTCTTTTATTCTTATTAGTTTGGATCTAGGATTGAACCCAAATTTCTTGTATTTTTTATTATTTCATGTGAACTTACGTTGGAAATATAATAAGTAATTTGTAATCTTAATGAAAATTCTAAAAGAAGTCCGTAGTTACCTATAATCTTACCCTAATCTAAACTTTCACACTAAAAAATATATTTTCATGATAATTATGTAAATTATTATTACTTATTTGTAAAAATAAAAGTAACATGTTTACTTTTCGAAAGTTAAAAATAATAATTTTCTATTTTATATCTTTCTTCACACCATTCAAATTCTCACCCTCATTTTCTTCTTTCTCATAGACTTTTGCTTCTTCTCTTGATTCACTCTCCTTGTTTTTTCCCTTTAATTTTTATATAAATTCTTGTGATCTAATAAAAACATTTCCTTTCTATGTAATTTAAAAATAATTATATTAGATAGAAGAGTTTATAGGATGCAATTTATAGTATAATCATTTTAGAACATTTCTTTTAGTGAAAATATTTTTAATTTTTTTTTCAACTACTCAGTTCTATAGTTTATTGTTTTAATTTTAACTTTTTAAATTAAATTTATATCATATTTTAAATTTAAAATATAATTTTTATGTTAAAAATGTTTATCTATTAGAAATTTTAATTATAACATCATTTATATATTAAAAAATATTTATTTATTATAAATTTTGATTATATAAAATAGGCAAAAACCTTATTTTGGTCCCTTATATTAATTGTTTGTTTCAAGGGGTAAGAAGCCCTAGAAGTGAGAGTAAGGGTAGTCAACACCCTACAACCCTGCCAAGTGATAGCCATTATAGTAGTCATCACAATGATGATTATTATCAAAGGCCACCACAAAACAAATCAAGCAAACCAACAAGGACATCAACAGATTCCTCAAACTACTATAATAAGCGACCTGGAGAGGCCGACACAACAATACTCATAACCATAGCAAGCAACCTAGAGAGGTTGGCACAATACTACTCACCATCCCAAATAGGCAGCTTGGAAAGGCCGACACAATAATACTCACCTCTTGATCTAGTACACGACAAAGTCGTAAGGGAAAAGTTTGGAGAGACGATACTCACATCCTAATCCAGTACACGACAAAGTCATAAAGGAAAAGGCGGCGTGGAGAGACTAACACAATAATACTCACCTCCCGATCCAGTACATGACAAAGCTATAAAATGTCTGGAAAGACAGTACTCACCTCCCAATCTGGTACATGACAAATTCGTAAGGGAAAAGGCAGCCTGGAGAGGCCGACATAATGATACTCACCTCCTGATTTGGTATACGACAAAACCATAAGGTAAAAAGTTTGGAGAGACAGTAGCCACCTCCCGATCCGGTACATGTGACACCCTCTACCCCACATTCATAATTACACAATAAATAAAAATAATTAAAATCTTTCATAAATAAAACCAGAATCTCAAATATCTTACGTAAAGGATTCATATTCATAAACTTATAAATAATATTTCCAATGTAGCAATTACAAAGGAAAGAAATTGAGGTTTTCAAAATAGTTCAATGGAAATAACATCCTAAACTAGTCCTAACTTCGCCCCGATGTCACATAGCCTATTAGAGAACGCCCAATTGAAGCCTAAACTTCATCACCAATATCCTCAAGTTGATGGTCATCTACAACATAGTAGAAGACACACATAGAACAAACAACGGAGTGAGAAACATCTCACTCAGGTTAAGGTGTAAAAATAACGGTCAGTGCACACACTCACACTTTTGTGCCAAAATTTATTTTTGTGAGAAAAGTGTAAGGAGGCTTAGTGATTTCTACTAGAAAAGGGTTGGTTTTTAAGAGATTCTTAGTAGTCCACCTCCCTTGATAGTTCACTTTGTGCACTTAGGCCTCCAATCACTATTCTTGCACTCAAAACCTTTTGTGAAAAACTTTATCACTCACTCTTTGTGAAAATATTTCCAAGAATCCTTTGTGAAAACCTTTCTTGATCAAATATGAGTGATCATTCAAGTGTACGTGGTCAAAATACCAATAGTAGTAGACATAGTCTTAGGGATGAACTTAGAGAACTTAGGGAATACATAAAAAGAAAAGAAGAGGAAAGTGAGAAAAAAGAGGAAGAGTATAGGAGAAAAGAAATAGAAAATGAAAAAAATAACAAAGAAATAAAAGAAATGCTTGCTAAACTAGTCATGGGGGGGGGAAGTTGGGGGATCCAAACCAAGAGTTCCCCCAACTAGGTCCCAAAAAAGGCAAAGGGGTAAGAAGCCCTAGAAGTGAGAGTAAGGGTAGTCAACACCCTACAACCCTGCCAAGTGATAGCCATTATAGTAGTCATCACAATGATGATTATTATCAAAGGCCACCACAAACACAAAGACCAAGGGAGTCTTCCAATAAGGGACCCAACATTACTTTTTCCTCATTTCATGGCAAAGACAATGTTGAAACATATTTAGATTGGGAAATGAAAGTTGAACAACTTTTTTCTTGCCATGGAATAAGTGAAGAGAAAAAACAATTAATATAAGGGACCAAAATAGGGTTTTAACCTATAAAATAATATTTATGTTGTACAGTACATAAATCAAAATACTAGTTATACTATTGCCTTAAAAACATTTGAGAAAAAAAAAAAAAAAGAAAGAAACATCTTTTACAATTTCAAAAGAAAAAATCAGAGGAAGGATAGGTATAATTTGTTCAAATTCAAAACATAGTTTAACCCATAGGTGTGGATCAGGCATTTGAGTCCAACACTTGATTCTTCTCTTTCCCCAAACCCCTAAACCCTCTTTCTTCGTTTCAGTTCAATCTTTCCCTCTATTTCGATTGCAAGTTTCACCGCATATACCTGTTCGTTTGCCATGAACTCCATGTTGCAGTGGTAGCAACGACTTTTTCATGCTAGAAAGGAACTCGATTTGGACTCAGGAGTGTGGTATGCCCGAACCTGATTCAAAGTTTTGATCTTCATGAGTTAACTTTGCAACAATGATTTTCACTATTTCTTTATTGTTTTTAGGAATTTGGGGCAAAAATGATAGTGACTCAGAAATTTTTTTTGTTGCATTTGATAATGTAGCAATCCCTATTCTAAAAAAAACTTTTACACTATAAATAAACTAATTAAATTCTTTTTCATCTCATTCCTTTAATGTGTGCTAACTCATTGGGAACAAGTTCCAATAGAAAAATGAAATGTAAGTTGCAAAACTACCACCTTACTTGTTTTCCTTGTTTGTAGCAGGAGCATCCATGACTGAAACTACTCAAGTATATTTCCTTTTGTGCATGCATCTTCAGTGACCGTGAAATGGCTTCCAAGAGCATGAGGCAATCGAATTATCTGTGGTGGTTGTGCAATTTCAATTTCAATCCAAATATAACCTATCAACGCTTTTCGCACCTAAACAACACCATAGATTCGAGGCAATACCTTCCAGATCTCATTAGAAGCTTCTCAATTATTGCACATGTGCATCATGGCAAGTCCACCCTTGCTGATGGGCTACTAGAACCCTCTAGAACCATTACGAAAAGCCCTGGCCAACCTCAACATCTTGATAAATTGCAGGTACTCTTGCTGAAATTTTTCAATATTTTCATCTGGGTGTGTTTTTTTTTTTTTTTTTTTTTTTTTTTTCATGTTTGAAGAAAAATGTTGGGTTAACTATGAGGCACAATGAGACAGTGGGTTGGTTAAACAGATTTTTTTTTTGAAATTTTAGTGGAATATGTTATAGTTTTTGATTTTTATTTGCTGTGTTGCTTAGTTGGTGAAGTTTGTAATGTCGTAGGTGGAGAGAGAAAGTGAAATCACAGTTAAAGCACAGGCAAAAACAATGCTCTATATGCATAGCATAAATAGTGATGATTGTAGTGGTGGAAAGGAATCACCTACTTCTTCGCCGAATGTTATTGGCACTCCTGAATCATGTTCACTAATCACAATTGATGTTGAGACACTCACCAGAACCATCAATGAGCACCCTTTCCCACTGCAACCCCTTCATCCTACACTTCTCCACCTCCTCCCTCCTTGCACCTTCAGCACTTCCCTTGTGGAAAACATTCTTGGGCGCTTGTTTGCTTCGCATTGCAATGGCCTCAAGGCCTTGGAGTTTTTCAACTACTCCCTCATCCATTCCCACTCACCCCTAAGTCCTGCTTCACTGAACATGACCCTCCACATCCTCACTAGGATGCGTTATTTTGACAAGGCTTGGGCCTTGTTGCGAGACATATCAATAACCCATCCTTCTTTGCTCACCCATAAGTCAATGAACATTATGCTTTCCAAAATTGCCAAATTTCAGTCCTTTGAGGATACCCTTGATGGGTTTAAAAGAATGGAGAATGAGGTGTTTGTTGGCATGGAGTTTGGAACAGAAGAGTTCAATGTGCTTCTTAAAGCATGTTGCACTCAAAGGCAGATGAAGGAGGCCAAGTCTATGTTTGCGAAGCTGGTGCCACGGTTTAGTCCTAATACTAAGTCCATGAACATTCTCCTCTTAGGATTCAAGGAATCAGGTGATGTTACTTCTGTCGAGCTTTTCTATCATGAAATGGTCAAGCGTGGTTTTAATCCGGATGGTGTGACATTTAATATTAGGATTGATGCTTACTGTAAGAAAGGTTGTTTTGGTGATGCTTTGAGACTTCTGGAGGAGATGGAGAGGAGGAATGTTGTCCCTACTATTAAGACTATAACTACTTTGATTCATGGAGCAGGGTTGGTTCGAAATATAGGCAAGGCGTGGCAGTTGTTTAACGAGATTCCTTTGCGAAACTTGGTTGCTGATACTGGTGCTCATAATGCATTAATCACTGCTTTGGTTAGAAATAAAGATATTGAATCTGCTTTATCCTTGATTGATAACATGGTTGAGAAATGCATTGAACTAGACAGTGTGACTTACCATACAATGTTCTTGGGATTGATGAGGTCAAGAGGGATTGAAGGTGTGAGTGAGCTTTACCAGAAGATGACTCAGAGGAATTTTGTTCCAAAAGCAAGGACAATTGTGATGCTTATGAAGTATTTTTGTCAAAATTATCGACTTGACTTAGGTGTATGTTTATGGAATTACCTGGTGGAGAAAGGGTATTGCCCCCATTCTCACGCTTTAGATCTTTTAGTCACTGGATTATGTGCAAGGGGTTTGGTGCACGATGCTTTTGAGTGCTCCAAACAAATGTTGGAGAGAGGAAGGCATATGAGTAGTGCATCATTTTTGATGTTGGAGAGATTTTTGTTGCAGACAGGTGACTTGGACAAGTTGAAGGAGCTTGACCAAATGATTAAAAAATTGCAAAGTGTCTTACCACCATCTAGAGGACACGCAACTGGTATTTCTACCTCTGGGTTATAGTGTAGCATCATTTAATTTCAAATCGTAAGAAGGTAAATGATTTTGATTCATGGTCATTCCTGATTGGGATGATATAGTTTACTCATGTGCCAAGGATAGAGCTAAAGTATTTGGAACAAAGAAAATGAAAAGAAAGGAGATCATAGTGTGACTATTGACTTAGAGGAATCGAGTTCTAGAGAAAAAAAAATACTAGCACAAGTAAGAGTGGAGAAAGAAGTAATTAGAGTGGATGATTTCCTCAATAAAAAAAAAAGTGGTTGAGTCATCGAAAGAATTTGTAGAAGTAATTAAAAATAAGATAGAGATAGAAAAAGTTGAAGAAGTTATAAATAAAGTATTGAATGAGTTGAAGAATATACCTTGTATCGGTACGGCTTAAAGCAATATTATATGCACTTAACCATAGTATGCTTCCTATCGGTTGTTGTTTTGAAGGTGTTGCTTTGTATTTTATATTTTCTATCTATTAGCTTGACTGGAAGGCATGTTCTTAGTTATTTTCTTGTTGAAGAGATGGCATTTTACTTTTTATTTTTATTATTATTATTATAGTAAAAAAATTAAAATGAGAATATTGTGCCTTGTTTGTTTTCTAAAATTTGTTTGTCCCTAAGCACATCTGAAAGTGTTTGTCTTGTAAACATAATTTTGTGTTCTAAAAGTTTATCCCTTGAGCACTTTAAGAAAATAGAAGAGAATGGGAAAACATATCCTAGTTGTTTCCGTTTTTTATTTTTAAAACACTTGTTTTGAGAACAATTTTTAAAACTTAATGGATTTTCGATGAGAAATGATGGCTGAATTGTGTAAAAGTATTTTATAGAATACTTTTAAAAAAATGAATAAAGAATCAAACAAGTCCTTCGTCTTTAGAATAGATGATCTTGAAGGAAATATTATTGTTTTTCATGAAATGTCTGACATAAAATTTTCCTTTTCAAATCGTCTGGAAAATTTGATTTGTATATATATACATATATTCAAATATAATAAGTCTCTAAGAAAATGGGCATTTTTGCCCATATTTTTTTAGTATATACTGTTTGTTCAGGAATTAGGAAAGTGATTTTCTGCTTCTGATGGAGTTATTTTTCTGAAGTTTATAATACAATCAATTGAATCGAGATATGTGTATAATTTGAATCCTTATATGTGGTTTTAAAAGTAAACTATGCTAATTTGTATTTTACTATGCACATAGGAAATTGATTTTAGCATTATGTGCCATTTAGAAATGGTTGTTAAATGGTGATGCTCTTTATTTTTGCGTCTTTTTTTTTTTTTTTTTTTTTTTTTTTTTT